AGCGACAAAATTTGGCCATAATCTATTAAACAAATTACAAAATTCCACGAAGAATTGCCGGTGCAATGCTATTTTGTTTAAAAATCCGCTTAAAGAGTTATTTTCTAATTCGGCAATTGTCTGACATCGAAAAACCCATCCAAAATGTTGATGCCCCCGGTATTTTATGTGTGTATATGTTTGTCTTCGCTGACAGAAAACAAAAGTCTATACAAAATCCAATTTCTCGCCCGAGGGTGCCATCAGCTTAGTACGCGCGCGGCACCGTTTATTGTTGCGATTCACCAATTTTATGAAGCGTTCTCGCTTTCAAAAGGTCAATGGTATACCAAAACGGATGAATTTAGCTGGAAATTGACATTAGAATTAAACGAAGGACAAATAAACACTTGTCTGTGAAATGGTTTGAATTTGACGTTAATTATATCATAGCCAAATGTAGTAGCCCGGTTTTATAACTCATTTTGAATATTCACTCATACTTCACCATAAACTAATAATAATTGAGGAATTGTGTGTGAAAATTTAAAAGCGCTCGACAAGCATGATTGGCCCGAGAATGGAAAAAGCCAGAAGGCAATAAACTTGGCGGCTAAATATTTACAGATTTGTTATAAACATGAAGTACGAACGTATACATTTGGGTTTGCAGCATGTGGACTAGAGCAGCCACTTGAACGATGCATGAATAATCAAGAAATAGATTTGCGTCACAGCAATTGCTATTTATCAACCGAATAAAATGTATAGCTTGCGGTTTCCGTATGCGCAAAAGTTTGTGTGCAAAACTTTATGCAATTTCTAGCCAACTATATGTGAAATGAAAATAATGGTAATTTTTCATGTTGAAATTCAACGATACGAAGACAAAGAAGAATGTGACTGAGTAGAGTGATGGTACGATTTTAATGCGTAGAGTCTACAGCTTTCAGTGACGAGTCACATCCTTCTTTTGAGGCATTTTTCTTCGACACAGTGGCTTTTCCTTTGTTCGGAGTAAATTCGTATTTTTCCAAAAAAATATCCAGCAACGCTTGTCGTTTTCACACAATTTTGTAAAGTTATTTTTATGAAAAAAACTACATGGAACTTGCAAGAAAAGTTTGCTATCAAATCCTCCAGGCAACTGTGAGATGATTCGAATTGTGGATGGTAAATTCAAACATTTGCGTTTGAAATATTGATCCTTACGGATGAAAAGCCATAGTACATTTATGAACAGAATATTCACATTTCAAGTGAAAATCGTGAGCTTGATGTTCAGAGTTGAAAGCGTATCTTAATGAAACACTCTTGAAACAAACGGGTTTTATACAAAATGATTGTTATGCTAGACAATCATATGTACTGATTTAAATCGTCTGTTCGGAGATTTTACAAAAAATCAGTATGTTTACTACTGATAAGACGGATCATTGAAATTTATCATAAAAATAGGGGATACTTTGAATTTTCTCTGATGGCTATTTATAGACGATTTCACTGAACTGCAGCTTGACATAAGACTGTTATTCATTAAATGCCATCAATTGTGTTTTTTCTTTCTTTTTCCCTCGCATGGCTGACAGAATAATAATAACAATATTGAGCTTAACCCCGTCCTTCACTGGAGTGCCATTGCCCATCTATATTTTACCAGGATAACTGAAGTCATAATAGAAATATGGTTTTAGTTGTAAAGACTATGCATAAAACTGTGGTCTTTCCGAAGTCAATGGCATTAATATATTTAGGAAAAAAACACAAAACCATTGGTTACCTTATAGTAGCAGAATCAGGTGTCTTATAACAGTTGCCAGTAAGTAATTAGAAATGTTTGTTTGGTCTTACACACGCTTGCTCCCATTAATGAATGTGGTGGATGTGGATCTTGTCAGAATTATCATTGGCTTTTGTGAGAGAAAGGTAGGATAAAGAAAAATACTAAACCAGCACATGTGATACATGTGTATCCATATTCACCTGATGATTATATTCATAAGCATTGGGCAAAATGGATTGAAATAAAAATCGGTTGGTCCAATGGGAATCACAGTAGAAGATATCAGACGAACACACATTTAGGCCACTGAATCATAAAGGCGTTGCAAAACGAACTGAAATAAGACACCGATATTCAATTTGGTATTTTGATGAGTATGAGAATCAAGATGCATCATGCGTAAAATTACACTTTTTTATCTCGCATTGTGGATGATGTTGATGATGATGATTGTGATGATGTGTTAGTTAGTGTATGTGCGTTGCTCCTGGCTTTTCCTATAATGGCACACACTTTCAATATCAAATGTTCTATGAATTAATTATGACTTTGGCCGAAAGTAGTGGATGATTACATTGAACGATGAATGCAAGCGATACCGTGCAAAAAGATAACTTCATGAAATTTTTGGTGTATCAGTAGGGGAGAGCAAGAGACTAGAATATAGTACCATATAATATGTGGGTAAAGAAGCGTAAAATTTCATTTCAAGTCATATAGCAAATATTACAACAACAATAGCGATACCAGGAACACAAACGAAGCATCAAACTCGATGTGCTTGTTAAGTATTTTGTATCGTTCCCGCCTGTCGTCTTTGTTTCAGGCCGACGACGTTTGGCCGGTAGAAGAAGCACACCAAAAGTGGAAAATTTCATTTGGGGCGCTCATTATTTCGCACTCAATGCGATGATACACACACACTTACTCGCCGGACGCCGGAGAAAGTTGGGTGCGCTGGTATTTCCACCGTGAAAATGATATCAGAGAGAAAACCAAAGATGTGGAAAATCGTAAAACTTTAGCCAAGGATATAATTGCCTGAATATCGTCTCTAATTTGCAATTTTCGTAAGCAAGTTAGCAAGACCACGTGATTTCGTGCGTATTTACTAGTTGTGGTTGATATATGATTGCACATAACATTTTAAATCCCTTTCGGCTTGTCAATGGGTGTACTGACAACATCGTAAATCGAGCGTTCGCACCGTGTCTAAGCGCTGAATTTATACATCTATTGTCTTCAATCCAACTACATATAATTACTTTGAGCCTTTGAAACAGTCGTGAAAAAAAATCCCATACAAAACTCTCATTTTTCCTTGGATTACAGTCTTCACCATGCTTCATCGCATCTTAATGGATCGTAGAGTCTAGCAAATGGCATGGCACAACACTCCAAGAGTTACGCTCGCTCGTGAAAGTTGTGCAGGTCAACAGAAAATAGGCTTGCCTCTTGTTCTTACGACGCCGCTCTTGTTAGCATACGAAAACCCAAAGATCAGAAAACATTTCATTATTCCGTGCACATAGATTCAACTGTCTGTATGTTGGTTATCAAAACACGTTTGCATCGATGAGTGCATGTATATTTATTTAAAAGACAGATCGACAGATGTGTTACACATGAGAATGAATGCGATTTGTTCGAGAGGTCTATGTTGCCAAAATGGCGAAACGAAGAAGTGAATATCAAGACACACATGTGCATCCGTACATTTGATATGGTCATATCACTCGAAATGATTTTCGGATAATCAAAATCGAAATGTTGATGCGTATCATTTCGGCCATTCAAGGTGTAATAAACTGTTCTCTATCACATAAATTCCACTGAATACAAACATCAACTTCCTGAATAATTGATTTCTATCCGGCGGATTTTCGGGCCACTCGTTTTTTTTCCTCTCTCGTAAATCATTTCGTAATTTTATGATTGATTTTTCGATGATTGATCTCTCCCTCTCTCTCTCTGTGTGTGTTTTCACGCTAATTTATGAATTCAATTAAATTAAAAAACACTCACGTTCCGCTTCTCCATCCTCATTTATTGCAAAAATCAAACGCACCCGGATTAAACAAATATATAACAAAAATCAATACAACTTTCTGTCCACCGAACAAATCGAGAAACTTCTTTTGTCAACGAGAGAGAATACGCTCGTTTCCAAAACAATGCCGTATTCCGTGATGAAAAACTTGCCGCGATGCTCAATAAATCGCAATGGCAGCGAGAAAAGGAAGTCAAAGCAGAATCAAAGTAGTTAATATGTATAAAGATGATCTTTTATTCATAAGAAACGTTATGTTGCATCAGCTTTTGCTATGTGCTTCATTCTTATATACGCTCAAGAGAAAAAATACTCTTCATTTTTGCGGTATACGTATCGCTCACCCTATGCGTTCGCTCTTTTTCTATCTTATTCACACTTACACTATATTCGTCATACAAAACAACGGCAGAATGTAAGTGTAGAACGCATGCGGATACACTAAACGTTCGCGCTTCTCACACCAATACTAATGCATACGGTCTTGCGTCAATATCGCTACACACAACTGAAGCGCACCGCATGCGTTCTACACTTAGGTTCTGCCGTTGTTTTGTATGACGAATATAGTGTAAGTGTGAATAAGTCAGAAAAAGAGCGAACGCATAGCGTGAGCGATACGTACACCACAGATCCGAAGGGTATTTTTTCTCTTGAGCGTTCACAGTTCGATTTCCAATACACCCACGTCTCTCCATCTCTTTCTGTTTTTCTCTCTATTTTTGTCTCATTTTTTCGCCATGTTAAATTTTCATCCTGCTACGGGAATAACATTCGAATTGAAAGCCGTTAAAGAGTGCATCATTAAAGATTCAGGGTGTTATTGAAAATTTAAAAATTCAATATTCATTGAGATATTCATCGAATTCCGGGAGACAGAGAGCGAGCAAGAGAGAGATAGAGGAAAATGGTGGGAAAACACCAAAAATACTCATTGAAATGTATTCTATTTGAAAATACGAGAACAGTTTCAATGTGCCACGTGTGGAGTGGATTTACAGCTGAACTGAACTTCAAACACGTATCGAAATGCATCGTACGAATTTTTGTTTCACTTAATCTCGTTTTGTACCCAACATTGGCAATGATATCGTGTGTGCGCTGAAAACAAAATGTAACTAATATCACATACGTGTTTTTCGTATTTCGTTAATTTTATTGAGGTATTCAATGGTTTTGTCTTCCTTTACATTAATAGTTCAATTTGGCTTTGCTTATTTCTATATGTTTTCTTTACATGGTATCAAGAACACTTGTTTTTCTTCTATTCTTCGTTCCGTTGATCTTTTTATATGTTGCTAATGCCGTTGAGTTTATCCTGTTCGTTACATACCATAATCACGCTTTATGGCATTCCATAATTTCGATAGAGTTTCTGGGCTCATTTCGCAAGAACCCATTGTTTCCTTTAAACTGCATTCATTATTCCACATAATATTGAATATGTGAAGAAAAAATAATGACAAACCATTAATAATGACGTAATCAAATTAACTGCCCGCAAACAATAAATGCACACCTTTGATTATCAACTTCGAATTTAGGCGTTGCTTTCTTTTATCCACTAGCTGGTAGATGTGCTGGCGTTGAATCGTCCGTGCCAAAATCAATCTTATCCTTCGGAATATTGGGATACAGTGTGTAAGTTTTTTCATATCATTGATACGATGTCGAAAACTATGTTTTTTTGAAATCTTCTGCAGATAATGGTTCGACCATAGTAATTTTCATTCTATTTACAGTTTCATCAACATATACGATTGAAACAGCACCTAAAAAGTCATCCATTTTGTTTAAATATTTTACAAAAAAAATTACTTCAATTATCCCACCGTTCTCCAATGAAAATACACACTGAAAAAGTCGTTATGCTGTAGTTATGCTCACACTGATTGTCGTCCAAAAATTAGCGTGGCCCATACATTTGTGAGCGTCAATGAGTGTGGCATACATATTGAGAGTGCGTAGTGTAGGTATGTAACACTCGTTGACGCTCACAAATGTATGGGCCACGCTGAATTTTGGACGACAGTCAGTGTGTGCATTGTGTATGCACTTCAATTCGATTTCTTGGCACGTTAGAGCAAACGAGTGTACAATATTGTTTGAAAGAGAGCGAGCGATAAACACAAAAAATTGCTTTGCACTCGACGCCGAGATCTCAGTGTCTCGTACGAGATCTCACTCTCTGTATGGTAACCGAGCTTGAATTTTGCTACTGAATTGCCACCAGAAACCATTAATGAATCAAAAAAATTTCTGAATCTTTCGGAGCATTTCTGAATGCTTTTGAATAGCTTCGAAAATGGACGAATCTACTGAAAATGAGTAATGGTCCGCGGTCGGTCGCGATTTTCGTGAAGCTGATAAGAGATAGAGATTTGGTGTCTTGAGCAAAGTTTTAGTACTCGAGGTCCTCTATAATTGCTCAAGACTGCTATGTCCCATTCATCAGTTAAACAACCAATTTATGATGAACACTTCGAAGAGAATCTCGATTTTCAAAACAATAATTTAATTTTGATTTATAAAATTTTTCACATTCACACTCCAATGGCAGCCGAAAGAAGACTAATAATTTTTTTTTTGAATTCGTGTATCTTGGTCATTCCAATTTTTTACTTTTTTAATAATCACATTTTTCTAAAGGAATAGATGAATTCTCGTTCAATCTGTTTCAACCCAAGATGCCCTTTTGCGCTCACGCTTTCAATTAGAATGGTTTTTTGTGCAAGTGAAAAGAGATAAGGGAAACAAATTTCTTAGCTCATTTTGTTTTCGTTCAACATCCAAAGATCGTATTGATCCAAACGAATTTTTCAGCAAAACTGAATTATGTTGAAATACAGAAGAGAATCCACAACTGTAGTCTTACTGTCTATAGCAGTTCTACAACTTTGCTAAATTCACCAAAGAATACGGAATAAAACCTCGATGCATGTAAACATGCCCACCTTTAACGCGAATAGAATCATGTAAAAACATACTCGCGAGTATTGTACGTCTTTTTAGAAATATTAGTTGAAGAAAAAAACAGTCTTAATCTACCCATTGTAATGTGACTATTGACAAAGTATGAATATCGACCATTCCACACGAAATCAGTTAAGAATTGGATCGACCCTCTGCGAATTGGCTGAAAATTTGCATGGAGTTCTGTTTTCGGTAGAAAACGATAAAACCAAAATCTTAGGGCTGTAAGTGGCCCACATTTTCGAGTTCACCCAGTGTAAATTTTTCGGAAAATTGAAAAAATCGAAAAAAAGGGTTTGCGCCAACTGAAATCTAACTAAGAAGTAGTTGACACATTGCCAAGACCCTGGTACCGTTGGAAAGGTAATCGATGGGGCTACAAAAACTGCCTAGTAACCCACTCCCTTTGACCCCATTGGGGCTCCCAAAAATGGGTTCAAAGTATAAAAAGTGAAA